TGGAAGTTTTATTGCAATGTAAGTAAGCGTTTGTCCATTTTATATTTTACTTTTTTCATACCTACAAAAAATATACATATAGAAATTTTATAATTCGTTTTATTTAAAAAATGTCAGAAAACAAGCTTGTAATCTTGTAATTGACATAATTGTTATGTAATATATTCCATTTAAATGTAATATATTAGTAAGAATATATAAACAAGAATATTAGGTACTTTACAATTAAAAAAAATGTAAATTTAAAAAATATATACAGGCATTAATTGAAATTTTTTGAGTGTAAACAAACACGAGAGGCGCTTTATTATTTACTTTCATTTCTTAACATAACAGACGAAGTTCTAAAAGGGGATGTTTTGTGCCGAGACGTTCGTTTAGTTTAGGTTAGACAAGAATTTGACAAGTCTCAAAAATGGCAAGTTCATACGCATCGGCGTCCATTTGTCGTTCATCGTTTCGTCAACCGTGAAATATAATCTGTCATTTTTGAAATAAACCAATAAAACTGATTAAAAAGAACAAGAGACGACGCATGACGGATTTATATTTAAACCCATCCATAAGTTAACTTAAAAAATATTAGAAACTTTTTTTAGTGAAATAAATAGATTGGTGTGGACGTCATCTACTTTTCTTCTGTCATCGTCTGTCGAAATCTTACCTGAGAAAAAAAAAACAGAATATAGATATATTGTTTTACGTTGTCTAAAATTTGAAGTCATAGGCTACTACTAGTTAAAATTAAATAACTTAATAACGAGTTAATTTAGCTATAGGAAGTTGTATAGAACTTAGTTAATAAATTATTTTAAAAACACGTATTAAGATCATTATACCATTTACTCATTATCGACTAAACCATTATCAAAACCATCTATGTTATTCAGCTTCAGGTATATCTGCCGTGTATATAATGAAGCTTCACTGACGACACTGATTAAAGATAAGCGAGTTTACTGCTCGAAAACTCGTCGAAATTAGGGAGCGGCAAACGACGCCATTGTTAATCCCGGGTTATTAGGCGGTTCTGCATCCAGCACAATTAGTCTGGATGTGATGCACGCATTATAAGTTCCTCATCGAGAGCCATCAAACATTTCAGGCGATTGTCTCGAGATAATGATCAAAGTTACCCGGTTTATGGATCGCTGCGAAGGTTGTATTTAGTAGGCTGAAACTGCGTAGGTAGATGTTTGTTTTAGATAAAAATAAAATGAGGAAAATGTTACATTTTTTAGTTAATTCGTTCTGAAATATTTACACTCAAATGCAAAAAATGAAACGGAGAAAATGTTGGTCAAATTTAAAATGTTATATTTTTAAACAAAATTCAAAAAGCGGAAAAGGGGGCCAAAAAGCCCTACATATATGCTTATTCTCTGCATTAAGTTTATCAGACTGAAGGGAACAGCCATTCGACGACCGGTTTCGGAGATTTATCTCCATCGTCAGGCCCATAAAATAATTAACTAGAAAGAAGTGTCAACTTTGTGTTAAATCGTGGAAACACGATACGCCACCGAAAGCCTTCGTTGTCGTCTGGAGAACTAATTTTCCAATTGACAGGTTGACATGATAAGGACATGATGGCTTAATTTTCATTTCCGTTTCCGGTTATTCAATGGCGGGCCCTCTTTCAGTTCAAATGTATTTTGTATTTTTTCTTTTCATAAATAAAACCAAAAAATAATTTATTCACATATATTTATTTGAAGTATGGAACAACGTGACTAAATAAACATAAAAATATAGAGGATTGTATTGTTTCAATACCAATTAGTTAATTATATGTACTTTTAACGTAAATTAGTTAAGGTATAAGCATGACTTACAGTAATTTGTAAATAAACACACGTATTCGCAGACTTCAAGGACAGAAAACGGACACAGGGACATGAAAACGGGAGCCTTATACAAAAACCTGAAAACAGAAAAACAAATTTTTTTATACTAAAATTAACAATCTAAAAATATCAATAGGTATAAAATATAAATATACTGTTTAAAAAAGCGTCCATTATTCCCAAAGAGACCTGGCTTATAAATCAAAAAGAAGCAAAAAGAGACTTTTAGTCGGATAACATAATCAGATTATCAGTCCGATTTATTGCATTATTGACAATAAATCGCACATATTGGAGATAAATGATGTTGGCTATAGTTAAAAATGATCTTACCTTGCTGTAAATTGTTTCCATTTTCAAAAAAATCGCCGATCAAAGAGATTATAACACCATTTTCTTGCATCTAAAAAATGTAAAAACAGTGTTTATTTACTACCTATTTTTCATATACATGGGACATACCTACTACGGCAGAAACGTCATTTTCTCCAGGATTCTTCATGTAATATATATTTTATATACTTTATTACCTTTATATTTATAAATTTCAGCCGAAATATTAAATTGAATTTCCAAAACGAAACTAAACGGAATGAATTAAAATGGCGTCGAATATTTTCGAATTTGTTCTAGAACAAACCTGAAGTTGTCTCTGAAACTGAAATCTGTCAATTCTAAACTGTGAAGTTAGACAATAGTTAGACAAAATCAATGCTGTCCTTGTCTAGGCTGCCATACTTGTCGTGAGGAGAATGACAGGAATGACACTAATGACTGTTTCCAATTTTCCTATTTCACTGTCACCCCCCTGGTCAGGCCGACTTTGCTGTAACCCCCAATCTGACAAACGAAAAGCAGAGAATAGCATTTGAGTACAAAACGTTCTACTATGGAGAGTGCTAGACGCTCTCGCCATCTAGCGGTAGCTGTGACAATCACAGATCGTACCGCCAAAATTAAAACCAGCGGCCTACTTATTTGCTTCGTCCACGTAGATGGAGCTGAAGGTTTTGGTAGGGTAAGGCATAAAATAATAAATACAAGAAGAAGTGTCAAGTCAATGTTAAATTATGGAAACAGCGTGGCTGCCTGGGTAACTAATTTTCAGATATGACGGCTGGGACATTTGACATGACATAGACATGACAATTTCAATTTTATGACATTTATTTCCGTTTCCGGTTTTTAATGGCGGGCTGTTCAGGAGGTTTAAATGAGGGTTAATATACTTTTTACTCTTTCTAGTAGTAAATAATACAACAAAATTACTCAAAAATATTTATTTGGAATTTAGAACAATGTAAATATGCAAATCAACACAATTAAAGAGCTATAAACCAATAAACTACTGTATCAATATTAAATATTTAAATAATATCAGAGATGCTGTGTTAAAGCGAATTAGTAAAGTAACAGTGCATTGACTTACAGAAACTTGAAGATAAATAAATGTTTTCACAGCTTCACGGATAAATAACTGGAAGCAGGAAAAAGGCAACCGGAACCCACACAAAACCTGGAATCAAAAAAAATATGTAAAAAATATAAATATAGGTACCTACATAAGACTTTTGTGAATTAAATCAAACAGGACTTGAATGAAAATAAAATGAATAAAAAATATGATACATATACATCTAATACCTCATTTGTATTTTAAAAATAATCTACATACATAGATTTATAGCATTATTGCTATGAAAATACATAATAGGTACCTATGTGATATGTAATTACGCATTTCTGTTCATCTTGTAGAAATTTAACGTAGGCTAATAATAGTTCAATAATCATAATTTACCTTGTATAACTTGCTTTCAATTGCTCAAAATCACCGATCAGTCTTTAAAGTAGAGATACGGAAAAATCCTTGAAAGAATATCCCAAGATCCTTGGGTTTAAAGCTAAAAAAATATAAAAACAGTTAATATATTACCTATTTTTACCTATAATATGGCCCATACCTGCTACACGCCGAAACGTCGATTTCATCATTTTCTTCATGTAATTAATATCATATATACTTTATTAAAGTGTTAACAAGGAACTTTATATCAAAAAACATCTTTGTACTTATAAATTTCAGCCGAAATATCAGAAACAAACTTCCAATCAAATCTAAACGGCAAAAATTAAAATGGCGCCCGACCTTGCCAGAGGCCTCGGGAGCTGACGTTGACTTACACAGACAAAAGACAAAAAGAACAGGACGCCGACGTGCATAAAAATGTTCCGTAGCAGAAATTGACAGAAATCATATAGAAATATTCAGATTTTTGTCTAGGACAGTCTAGAAGGCCATGCTTTCTGCCTGGGTAGAACCGCGCCACAACTGTTTCCAATTTTCCGGTTTACTGTCACCCCCCTGGGGTAAGGTAGTGTATATGTATATGTTGTAAAAATTCCTGGAAGGAAAAAAAATAATATTTAAAAGTTCCTGGAAGGAATAACAGGAATACTGCATCAGCAGGCCCCTACCCTCAGTCTTAAACCGCAAGAGGGGCATGTCCGCAATTTTCTTAGGTAATTTATTATAGAATTTAACTGCCAGGTACCCAGGTCCATCTTGGCACCTAATTAATCGGTGGTCTACGCACGAGCCTATCCCTACCCCTTGTCTCATGGTAATGGACTTCTCCATGGACCCTATAAAGGTCTCGGTTCTTTTTTACATAAAGGAGATTTTCCATTAAATATACCGACGGGACAGTCAACACAACCACAGCCCTGAATGCCTCTCCACAGTCGGCCCGATAGCCAAGCCCAGCCAAGACTCGCACAGCCGCCCTTTGCAAGCTGAAGATCCTCTTTAGTTGGGCTGTATGTCCCCAGGCGAGAATAGCATAGGATAAGATCGAGTCGAACAAAGCAAAGTATGCAGTCCTCAGTACAGGCCCGGAAACACTTCCTGAAAGGCGACGCAGAGCAAACAATCCCCTTCTAAGCCTAGACGCAACCCCATCAACATGCTCATGCCACCGAAGCAGAGGATCAATCTGCACTCCCAGGAACCTAATACTCTGGACATCTGCGTTTGCTGTTTCTAAGTCCCTAAGAGAGAAAACCATCCTATTCGTTTTGTCAGGATTCAGAAGCAACCTATTGGCGCAAAACCATGACTCAACATGGCCCCGCACTACCTCACTCCCCTTCATGGCACCCTCCAATGAGTCAAATGAGAAGGCCACTGTTGTGTCATCAGCGAAAAGTGTAATTTTAGATGTTGAGTCTATATATGGCAAGTCGTTGATATATATAAAAAAAATCGTAAAAAATACCCTAATATTTTGTATTGCTTCCCTTGGCTGCTATAACTGCCTGTATACGTCCGTTCATACTGTCATTGAGGCTGTATATACCATATTGCTTTATGCTTTCCCATTCTTCTTTAATACCCAAGCGAAATTTAGTTAATGAAGCTGGTACCGCTTCGCGACCTCTAACTTTCCTCCCGAGCATTTCCCAAACGTCGAACATGATGGGCAATTCATAATAGTATATAGTTCACAATAATCACCAAAGCTGCCTTGTCATATTGAAAAATAACTTATTTAGAAATTATAATTGAAAAAATTTCAAATTGTTGGTGGCAAGTTCATTTCGCTCTTAAAAATTAATTGTCATTCTCCCGACGTCTTTGATACCGTTTTTTTTTATCATACTGTATTTTAATAAAACTATGTACGATTAGAAATTAACCAAACCAAAATCAACGATTATTGATTTATTACAACACACAATACAGGTTTCGAGGCCGAATTACTAGAGCAGAGGCGTTGATTTTATCGACGTAGATATGTAGTAGGATTTCCCAAAGGCAAATGGAGACGAATTAACGAGATTTATGTTTGAAAGCGTCAATTTTCGCGTACAAACGTTAAATTCTGCGACTATTATTGTAACTAATCGTTCCAGTCTTAGACAAACATGAGGCATAAAGGAAATGGAGTGAATTCAGGGCTTTAGACTGAATATCTACCATCAAATTAGTGAAGCAATTACCTTAGTTATGTTTACAGCAGAAGATACCATCTCACAATAAATATTTGTTTTAGAAAATTGGTTGAGCACGTGCACAACCAACCGCCAAGATAAAAAAAAGGAAGAAATCATTGAATTGAGTGTATGATGTTTTTACGTTAGACTTTATACGATCAAATAATAAATAATAATACCGTTTTTGCGTGAGAACTAGAAGAAATGATCTTTGTGTTCTAAAATAGTAGATAATTTCTTCTTAGAGAAACCGTGCTTCTTCAGAACTCGCGATCTGCTACTGCAAAGTGCTTTTTTTTAGAAGAATAAAACATATCATCATCATCATCATCATTTTTAGCTTATTTAACCATTTCCAATTATGGTGTCGCCATCCTCACATATTCTCTTTGTAGTTGGGCTTATTGTTGTCCTTTGTTGGCTATGTGGGTTCAAGTTATTCCTGCTAATTTCCTAATATCATGGTCCCATCTCTTAATTCCTCGTGGGTACCATGCTGTAATTATTTTGGTCCATCTCTTGTCCGTTCTTCTTGCCAGGCATCCTGCTCATTGCCATTTGAGGGATTTGACTCTGCGGATGACATCTATTACCTGGGTCTTGCTCACTCTATTCTTTTACGGTCTCTCTTGATTATTCCCAGCATATTTCGTTCTATTGAGCGTTGTGCGACTTGCAGTTTCCTTATGATATTCCTTTTAAGTGTCCAAGTTTCGCATGCTTAGGTCATGACGGTAGTACACATTGGTCGAATGTTTTCTTCTTTAGATAGAGTGGCATTCTAAATTTAAATATGATTGACTTTCTTCCATAAGTTCTCCATGCTAACTTAATTATTCTGTTTATTTCTGGTAGTAGAGATCCCGAGCTGTGTATTAGTTATCCCAAATATACTACTATTTCTAGTGTTGTCTTATTTATTAAATGTGTCTTTTCTTTCCACTAGTTCGTTGTACCGGGTGTCCCACTAAGAATAGCTCTTGGCTGTATCTCGGAAAGTATTGGCCGTAGAACCTGAAGAAAAAAATATTTATAACTAAAGAGGCCATGAGAAATTACTGGAAAGTATTTTCAAATTTGTAGAGTGGCCGCTAGAGGGCGCAACTGCTACGGCAAATAAGAAAATGCAATTTTTACAAAATTCTGCCTAGATAAGGGCTACTATGAATAACAGCTTCAGAAAATTTCAGACTTTTTTTTGTCAGAACCATTTTTCTCTATCTGCTAAAATACAGTAGTGGGGGAAGGTTAGATCTGTTTTTATTTAAATGTTAATAACTCCGGACTGGATCACCGGAATCTATGTATATGTAATTTCAGCTGATTGTAAAGAGAAAAAAAAGTTTAAGAAGTCAGTGAAAACCGCATCTTGATATATTTTTTCAATCCGTAGATATTAGCAAAAATATAATAAATACGCAAAAATTTGCCCTTAACTATCTTATTTTTATAACACGGTATCAGTACCCCGCTAGATTATGCCCATTTTAACAAAAAAATAAGACAGAAACAGTTAGCTTATTTTAATATCAACGAAATACCAGAATACCACAATACCAGATCTATTAATATTTAATAATTAAGATATTAATAACAGTGAACAAGAAACGATGATTCGGTGAAGTCATGGTAGGCTTTGGAAAAAAGTTGCTTTTGACGTAATAGTATAAACGTCAAATTGTTATTAGATCAACATTTTGATAGTCTTAACCAGCGTTTTTTATGTTTTAATTGCTTTTTCAAAATGCCTTTATTATTTGAAGTAGTTGAAGTTGTTAGTACTTTGAAAAAGCAATCAAAAGATAAACGACTATCAAAATGTTGATCTAATAACAATTTGACGTTATATATTACGTCAAAAGCTGGCTTTCAAAAGCTACCATGACTTCACTGAAATCGTTTCTTTTGTTCACTGTTATTAATATCTTAATTTTAGATATTAATACATCTGGTATTATGGTATTCTGGGTGACTCGTTGATTTTAAAATAAACTAACTGTTTTATTTTTTGTTAGAATGGAACACTAATCAGAGATATATGATACTGTATTGTAAAAATAAGGTAATTAAGGGCTTATTTTTTGGTATTTATTATAATTTTGCTAATATATTCGGTTTGAAAGAAGATATCAATATGCGGTTTTCACTGACTTTTTAAGCTTTTACTGCTCTTTACTATCAGCTAAAATTACATATACTATTGTATTTAATTTTTTCAAAAAAACGCGCTATGTTTGTTAAATTGTAAGAAAGCACCCCCTAGTGTCTACGTTCAAAACCTTATTATTATTATTTTTATGGTATAATATAAGCAAGAAACGCTCTCTTAAACGAGCCCTCGCTTGTTGGATTCTGATCATCCAGTCTGGAGTTATTAACATTTATATAAAGATAGATCTAACCTTCCCCCACCACTTTATTTTAGCAAATAGGGGAAAATGGTTTTAACGAAAAAAATCCAAAATTTACTGAAGATTATGAAGCTATTATTTATACTACTCATTATCTAGGCAAAATTCTGTAAAAATTCTACTTTCTTATTTTCCATAGCAGTTGCGCCCTCTAGCGGCCGTTTTACAAACTTGAAAATAATTTCCAGCAATTTCTCATGGCCCCTTTAGTCATAAATATTTTTTTCCGTAGGCTCTACGGCTAATACTTTCCGAGATACAGCCGAGAGCTATTCTTAGTGGGACCCCCTGTACATTACTTTAGTTTTTGCTACATCCATTTTAAGACTTTATTTAGTTCATAAATTTGTGCTTGTTGTTTCTCAGGACCATTGGCAATCAGGATTATGTCATCAGCGAATCTTAGATGGTTAAGATATTCTCCATCTTTTTGTACATTTGTGATTTTGTATATTTATGAAAGTATGTACCAGTTATTTTATGAATTAATATTAAATATAATCTTTCTTTTACAGAGGAGGCTCTAACATGTAATGTTTGTGATCGGACATTTTCCTGTCCAAAGCAGTTGTCAGCACACAAGCAGAAAAAAAGGCATTTTGGGTAAGTATCATGTTTTATAATTTACTAAATATTTATATTTAAAAAAAAATCCTCATGTTAATTAAAAAACGCTTTACACCCCAACACAATTAAAAATATAAATTATATGTTATATTATAAGCAGGTCCTTTGTATATATTCCTACACTTACACATATTTATTTTTAATTTGCGACCTTGTTTCGTAATATATATTAAAATTTAATATAATAGAAAAAAAAAACTGCGTCGTCTGGCTAATTTTTTTGAAAAACCTTTTTGGGCCAGGTGATAAAACTGTATTAAATATAACGTTCCCTAGAGGGTATTTTGTTCCAGAAGGTTCTAGATAAAGGGATCCGCATGATAAGAATTAATGACCTTTATGGTTTTAGGACTATTTGGGCCTCAATTCAATTGGCATATTTATTATTTCTTCTATATTACTCGTCCTTATATCCAACCCTACTATATAAAATTGAGATAAGTTTTTTATAGAGGCTTGTCTGCAAGACTATTACGTTTCTTGCCTTTTTGTGTTTTTATGTATATTTTATTACTTACTTTGCCTCTAAATGGAGAAGGAATCAGAATCTAAAAATGAAATAAAACATGGCGTGTGGTATTAAAAAATACATGTTACATTACTTATTGAAGTTCCCTGTATATTCACAAATAATATTTATAGTTGTGTACAAAACTTAAAACATTTCTATTTCACATTTTTTCGTAATTCTCCAAAAAACGAGGTAATAGACTTTACTCTATCGTTGGCTTACCCTGTATAGTACATAACATTGCAATTTAAACTTCTCTTAAGTGAAATGTATCTTTTTGGAGAAAAGAAAAATAACGAGCAATATCGGATGTATAACTACCATTGGGAATTCTGCTACATATATTCATATTTGTCAATAATACTTGAATACATTGAATGCCTGGAGTGTAGTTCTTCAAGAATGTAATAAGAAACCACATTACATTATATTAAATAAGAAAAATGATTTGCCAGTATCCAAGTTTTGAATCACTATCATTACTCTATTATTGAAATTTAAGGAAAATCACATTTCCGCAAAACAGTAAAAAGGCGTGTCTCATATTTGGATAAATTATGATGATATACAGGGTCCTGTAACAATCTAGCTCCTAGAATAAAAACTTGAGAATCTTGTGCAAGCCTAAAGTATGTACGAGGATGTATTTCAGGAAAATATTTTAATATCTATAGGGTGGTCAAAAAAGTGAGAGTGTATCGTGATGATTTTTTTTGAAATGGAACACTCTGTATATTATCGCATTTTTGGCTTTCTTTCAGATCACTTTATATTAGTTTGATAATTTCATAGATATTAATAAATAAATAAAAAATATCTAATTTTCAACTTTCTTTAAAAAAATTATTACAAATACAAGAACTGTCCTGAAATAAAAACTGTATTAGGTAGTTACTTTAGATGGTCTATACTTGCTTTGCTATGAATATTGTAATTTTAAATCATACAGGGTGTTTAAGATTCTACGCTAAATTTTATAAAATATAAAATATTTTTTTTAAATGGAATTCCCTGTATATTATTCCTTTATTAGATGGAGAGTTAAAAAATGAACATTTTTTGTATTTAAAGTATTTTAAAAATTTTAATGGCTTTGTAGATACACGTAGTATTATTTCATATGGCTCTTTCAACGGTAAAATACAAGAGAAAAATCATTAGGTGGCTTTAATAAAAATTTACTGTGGAAAATGCAATAGGAAATATGAAATATATAACCGCGCATATCTGCCAAACAGTTAAAAAATTTCGAAATACCCTAAATACAAAAAATGTTCATTTTTTAATTCTCCCTCTATTGAAAAGATAATATACAGAGTATTTTATTTAAAAAAAACGGAGAAAAAGTATTTTAAATTTTAGAAAGTTTGGCTTAGAATTTTGAACATCCTGTATGATTTACGATTACCATAATATACTTACCATATTATACTTACCAAATAATATACTTTTGATTTTACGACAGTTCTTGTATTTTTAGTAATTTTTAAGAAATGCTGAAAAATATATATTTTTTTTATTTATTAATATTTTTGAAACTATCGAAATATATTTACTCGTATCTCAGTAAGGTGATCTGAAAGAAAACCAAAAATACGATAATATACAGGGTGTTCCATTTAAAAAAAATTATCCCGATCCACTCACACTTTTTTGAGCAATCATATAGAAGTTAAAATATTTTCCTGAACACATCCCAGTTCATACTTTAGGTTTTTATTTAAACAAAATTCCCAAGTTTTTTATTCTGAGAGCTACATATGCCCGACGCACTATTGCCGGTCCCTGTATTTATTTCTATTTAATAAGTTTTGAATTTTAGTTTATCATTGATTTGTAAATGAATTATAAATCAATATAACATTAGATTTCTTCAAAAAAAATGAAAATCCGTGCTTTTAAAAATGTCCTTTATTCTTTTTTAGCGTAATGAAAAATTAATAATACAAGAGAAAGGTTTAATAAAATTTCGTTTAAATTTCTCGTTTAAAAGAAAAAGAAAAGAAGCGTTATCAAGACGTCCTAACTTCTAATTCCGACTGACTAGGTACTATTATCGTTGCACTCGACTTCTTACCAACATCGTCTTATAAATTAAACTCCAATAAAACTCCGGAGGGAACTTCTCCACGGGCAATTTTTGATTTAACGAAGTTGGGAATTTTCAAAAATTTACCGAAGGAAGAGAACGAGACAGAAACTTTTTATTCCGCGACTTTTTCTTAGCTAAGTTAAAATTTCCAACGTAGTCTCGACGATAATTAAAAATATATGAGCTTGGGATGGGTAAAAACCCAGACAAATAATATAAATATATTATATTAGAACGTCACGTCATATATTGTCGAACTCTCTCAATCACTTGACAGCCAGATGAAAGAGATTGTTGACGTCATTACAGCATTTCGTAAATTACTGCATATTCTTTTTAGTAATTGTCATTGTCATTTGATTTGGGGTTATAATTTTATTGACGGACCTCGATCAATGTCAAAATTAAAAATCGATTGTTGCTGTCAAGCAAAATTCAAATTTTTTTATTGCAAAAATGCCTCAAAGATTTAATCAAAATGAACAAGAGCTCATTGCTAAGCTTATAACTTATTTTTCTCGAGAAAGAGACACTCTGGTAGAATACTGTGGATATGAAGTAAGTACAATGCAAAGGTGTAATATTCCTATGTAAAATACAAATTCATAGTGCTTTTATATAATATAGCGAGTTGCTGATGCTTTAGAAATAGAAATTTCGACAGTCCAAAGGGTTGGAGCGAAAGGAATCGTAATTGATGAAGAATGCCGAAAAAAAAACGAAACTCGCTCAATCAATAATACCGGGTGCATCTCAAAAGTGACTCACCCCTACAACTTTTTATTTTTTTAGATAAAAAACGAGATTTGGTATGTTAGTAAGTGACATAAATTAGGACTGATTGACGTATTCAATTGTTTTTGGTCACTTCCTGTTTCACCGGAAATGACTACAACTTTTCATTTTTAAATGGCACCCTCGGTATTTTTTTACTTTATTCGATAGAAAATGACATTCTTAATAGAATGACATATCACATGTCAACTTTTGACATTCTCGCTTAATAAAAAGTCGTATTTTAAAATTTAATCTAGAGTACCATGGCTATGTTAAAAACACTAATTCTTAATCAAGGAGCCTTGGAAAAATAGATTTGATCGTCTAATGTTTTTAGTGTCTTGTCCTGGCCAGTTAGAAAATGTCCAAAGCGTATTTTTTATCATTTCTCAATTTTTTTAAATGGAACGAGGGTGGCTCATTAGCATATTTGAAAAAAGCATTTTTTACGAATAATTTGATACCACACACTTGGTATGTCGAGTCAAATTTTCGTTACGAACCGCAAGTTATAATTTCAAATAAACTATATGCGAAAATGTCAAAAGTTGACATATGATATGTCATTCTATTCAGAATGTCATTTTCTTTCGAATAAAGTCAAAAAATAACGAGGGTGCCATTTAAAAATCAAAAGTTTTAGTCATTTCCGGTGAAACAGGAAGTGACCGAAAATAATTGAATACCTCAATCATTCCTAATTTATGTCATATACTAACATACCAAATCTCGTTTTTTAATTAAAAAAATAAAAAAGTTATAGGGGTGAGCCACTTTTGAGACGCACCCGGTATAGGAACGTACTTAAAATTTTCTAAACAATATGAACTGATCTCAGACACATCCTAAAACTCATATTTGACAAATAATGATGACGTAACGTTGAACGATGGCTGAACAGTCTTTATATGTTTATTTTCTGTCAGTGATGATATGTATTGATAATTTCTATTTCAAATATCTTAGGGATAAAGAACGGTTACCTAGTTGCAGCGATTTTTACCAAGAAAACGTAACGTTTTTTACGTAAAAACAGGCGGAAATGTATAATTTTTTACTCAGTATTTATAGTTGTATACAGGTAGGGGCGAGAAGTTATTACCACAGATTATAAAGTCAAAAGCATTGTTTTTCGTGGTTCCAATTTTCGGAGTCGCGCACTAGTTAGGTTACTAGTCTGCACATATAGCACGCCAACTTATGGTCTCTAAAATTGTGCACAGCGCCTGACCGGTACAGTTATTACGCTGTTAAAACGCGAGTTTATTTTTGCGCACAATAAATTTTACTCGTTTGCTCATCGTCATAAAAGACAATTTTTGTACCACGAATTAGGAACAAGATTTTTATCTGTATACATATAGTATACCTAATAATAACCTACCTACCTAATAAATATAGTATACCTAATCTGTGTTATTTCTCTTCAAACCAGTTAAAAAAATGTAGGTGACGCCCCTTAGAAGTAGGAGTCATATTGTCATCGAAATCAAATTTCTCCTGTTAAAAAACATCCAGACACCGATTTTCATCGAAATATCGAAGTTAGTTCAGAAATTTATTATTTATTTGGAAAAATCGAAATAAAAATGAAAC